GGGGGGCGGGCGGTGCTGATTGACCCAACCATGCGCAAGTGTGCGCCCCCGCCGGGCGAAACGTCCCTCGCCGGGGGGAGGGGGGAAGCCATCGGCCAGCCAGAGCCGGCGCCCTCCCTCACCGGGGGGCGGGGCGCGGGGCGCGGGGAGCAGGGGGGGGGGGGGAGGGACCCTTGTCCACGGGCCGGGGGCAATGTTTCGCCAAATCGTCCCCAACCATACGTGGACCGGCTGCCACGCCGGGTTTCGAGACGGCCGGCGCTTGTGCACATATTCGCCACCACCCGGCGCCGGTTCGATTCCCTTCCGTGGCCAGCGCACCGCGAGCGCGCCCGGCCACGAGGAAGACTGGCTGTCGAAATGGACATATGCCCCCCCCCTCCCTCCCCCTGCGCCCCCGGGAACGAGAGTTGCTTGTGGCCTCGCCCCCCGGCGGACGAGGTCCGGGCCCCGCCGCCCCCCGGGAATAATAACAGATGCCCCCCCCGGGTTCACACGGGGCGCCCGGCTGGGCTTCAGGGCGCGGCTCTTCCCCGCACGCTCGAAGGGCGGTCCAGACCGGCTCCCGCCCTCCGGCCCCGTCCCTTGGCCGACCTCCGAAGGACAAGGGGTCCGAGCCAGCTGGCGGGGAGGGGGGGGGGGCGGCCGCGGTCGCGCGCGCACACTTCCGCAACGCCCGGCCCCGAGCCAGTGTGTGTGACGCAGCTCCCCGCCTCCCTGGACGGGGGCTCGGGGGGCTGCTCATCGGCGACTAACAAGGTGAAACACCAGGGAGCTCGGCCTGGCTTGGGCCCGACGAATCCGCCGGAAATCGGGTATTTATTATTCCCCTCGGGTGGATCTATTTTTGCCACCCGCCGCTCTCCTGGTTTGTTGTGGTCACCCCCGGGGGAGGGCGGCGCGAGGAAGCCCGCGCCCTTGTGGTGGCCGCGCCTTGCCAGAGCCGGATGAGTGTGTGTGTGTGTGCGCATGCGTCCGTGCGCATGCACTTGTCCCACATCCGCCCGGTCGGAATGCCCCCCCCCCCCCCCCCCCCCCCCCCCCCCCCCCGGCCCCCCGCGCGAAGGGCGCGGGCTCGACCCCGGGCCACGATCCT